CTTTCTTACCTTGGCCATGTCTCTGAGTATTGCACACCTTGTGCTTTTGGGCACTCCAGTGATGTTGCAGCTCTGAAATATGGCCAAACTGGTGGCAAGTGGCATCGTGGCAGCTGCACGCTTGACTTTTCTCAGTTCATGGGCAGTTATTTTGCGCCTTGGTTTTTCCACACGCTTCTTGCGACCCTGTTGACTATTTTGAATGAAACGCTTGATTGTTCGATGATCACGCTTCAGAAGCTTTGCAATTTTAAGAGTGCTGCATCCCTCTGCAAGATATCTCACTATTTTTGACTTTTCTGAGCCTGTCAAGTCCTTCTTTTGACCCATTTTGCCAAAGGAAAGGAAGTTGCCTAATAATTATGCACACCTGATATAGGGTGTTGATGTCATTAGACCACACCCCTTCTCATTACAGAGATGCACATCACCTAATATGCTTAATTGGTAGTAGGCTTTCGAGCCTATACAGCTTGGAGTAAGACAACATGCATAAAGAGGATGATGTGGTCAAAATACTCATTTGCCTAATAATTCTGCACTCCCTGTAGGTGTAGGTCTTTGTCACTTATATGTGTTTGAGCGCTCCACTTATAGGTGTAGGTCTTTGTCACTTATACCGCACTGTATTTTACAGATGTGGTAATTGCTAAATGTCATAATGACCTATTTTAAGATTAGAGAAGTGACCTGCCATGCCAGACTGACCACAAACAGAGATTTTCTTTACTGAAACTGTAGGGCAGAATGAAGCAACATTTGAAGGATATTCTTTGTTACTTCCTCTGTCGAGTTTATTCAAGTTGAGAAGATGTAAAAACAAGATGGCCGATAAGCATGTATAGTACTGTTACATGATGAGGTTTACAGTGACCTGTGATATGAAAGGTGGAGGTCATATATTATATGGTGTGCTGGGCAATTTAGTTTGTAGAGCCAAATTTTAACAATATAATAGTGTAATACTCCAAAGTTTGTATATTACTAGCAATTTCACAGAATACATTTTTAAACATTTCACAACAGTTCATAAGAAACAAAACCCAGAAGTGATTTACAAAGTTTGTCATCCTCCAAACCGAACACTATAAATACATTTCATACAGTTAGTCCCAAACTGGGTTGAAACATCTGCATTGTCTCAGCAGCAGGTAGCCAGGTTTTAAGTACTAGGAAAGTCTTGCTTTTTGTCAAATTGCTAGAAAACAGTTGAAGAAAAAAATACACCACCAAAATACTCTAGGTACCATAACCACTACAGCTTATTATAGTAGTTATGGTACAAAGAGTATTCATATTGATATAATTTTAACTTTAAGTAGTACACTTAAAGTGAACCTGCTATGGCAGCTCTTATAAATATATTGTAATGGAACTCCTGTACTCCGACCGGGTGCCTCCACCAAATCCGCTTCCTAGTCGTTGGGGATGGAGCCTGGAACATTTCAGCCCCAGTCACCAAAACTTGACTGGGGTCTCTCTGGAACTCTTTCATGCAGGTATAATCCCCTCTGTCTATTCCTCTGCAGCTCTGCTTATAATGATTGCTATAGCCTTTATAAAGGCACTTGCGGCACTCAGACCTAGCTCTCTTGATTTATACCAGGGAAGCCAGCCAACTGGTCCAAAGGCACTGTTACTGGGATTCCTACAAACCCACACAGGACACCCAGTTCCAAAAGAAACTAACATAACATTCTTTATTTTTACTCAGGACTAGCCTATATGCTCATGACATTTAGATTGCTGTGACACTTCAATAAAATACAAATATAAAAACCATTAGTAAACAAGCAATTAAAATAAATACATGCACTATATAATAGCAATAACCTTTTCAAACACAATAAAAAGCAATTATACATACATTTTACTACTTATTTGGTTGCCATCATTTGCATACATGTTTTATGCAAATGAACACACTTCTAGACAGTCAGCAGAGGGCGCAGCAGAGTTATCCAGCAACAATAAATAGTTTGTACAATGTTTGTTGCTGTCACACGCCTCTTTCAGGGACTCTTAGGACCAGATCCATAGTCTGTGGCTAAGAGGCTGGCCTTAAAGCCTCTCCAAAAGGCCATGGCATGGGAGCTTCTGTCACAAATATAATAATATTTTTTGTCATCAGTTTGTCATAAACATAAATTATATAATTAGTTGCTTTAGAAGCTGTTGAGTTACTACTCACCTACTCTCAAATGGAACAGTGCCACCATGATCAGGGAGATATGTTGTATAACTCTTATTTAACCTTACCTGGATTAACTGTAAGCTGACCTAAGGCAGCTGCCTAGTAACCAATATTTAAACAGAGGCCCGACCACAGTACTTGTTTAACTCAGCTTACTTTTTGTAAAAATATTTTTAATGATTTTTTTTTTCTATAGATGTACCAGTGAACAAATCAGGGACTTGCAGATCCCACAACATAAAAATAAAGCATATAAAACAACGCCAAAATGGAGGTGAGACGTGCAGGTCTCTAATCATGAAATTACTTTTCACTTGACTGACTCACAGCTAGGACCAGCCAGAAGGAATATTGGCCAAGGCAGCATGTGTTAGTAGTATTACTCTGTGCCACCTGGTATCGTTTGACTTCCCAAGACTTATTTAGAATTGGGAACCACAAATCTCTATACTATTTATATATATATATATACAGACCTATATGGTTTGACGTTTACTAAGTAAATCATAGGTGAGGGGAGAGGTACATTTTTCATTCGAATTTTCATAGCTAGCAATTTAAATATATAGGTTTGTTTTTTTTAATACTATAATTATAACTATAGCTGCGTGTAAAAGGACAGGTACACTTTAAAGGGACACTCCACTGATCAAATACAAAATAAACAGAAATTTCAGTTTAGTAGATATACCCCAAATTATGCAGTTCTCTTGTCTGCAGCTTTTGTAATCCCTCCCCTAATAGTCCCGTCCACAATTTATGTGGTTGCCCAATCACAGGCTTCCTAATGCAGCCCAATGAGAAGTCTTTGCAAGGCAGGTGCACTGAGCAATTGCTGCCTCTTGAGTTTAGCTCAACTGAGCTAACCAAACCAGGAAGTAACAGGACCTGCTGTCTGCTTCAGTGCTAGGGGGGGTGAAACCAGGTTCATTTATAAAAGTGTTAATTTCTATTGAAATCTGCACTTTTTTGCAGAATGCAAAAAAATAGGACGCCTATTGTGCCCCTTTAATTGCTTTACTTATGTCAAAAATATCATGTTTAGGATCCTGTGAAAGTAATTCCTAAAAGTCAAGGGTGTTTGCAAAGTTCAATTACAGTAAAATCGACATAGCATGTAAGAAACATGACTGTAATTACCAGGGGAAATTTTCTAAAAGTCCTTCTTCCTGATTCTTCTTTTACCGTTTTGTATTGACTTGGATTCAGACCAAACAGGGAACTAGACTGTTAGTCACATACCTATAAAGAACTAAACATGTCATTGATAGTGTTGATTTATTTGTTGAGATAACAATGATGAACATAATGTAACGTTTGAAATGGATACTATGTCTAAAGTTAAGAAATATTTTATACCTGGTAAGGTTTGGATCAATGCTAGTTTACACTAAATCTAATGCATTTTTGTCATATATACTTATTTAGTATGGACTCCAAATAGTATGTACATGTAATATAAAGAAGCATTGTAACGGATCCCAGTACTCCAGCTGAGTAAATCCGTGAACAATCTCCCAAGTGCCATAGTGATTATAAGTGTGAATATAGCTCCCAATCCCCCAAACATGAACCTAGACTTCATGAAGGAGTAAGATGATCTGTTTAATCTAGGCTCAATGGCCTGCTTTTATGCAGTACAAGGACACAGAAAACACGCCCATGACACTCCCACACAAAACAGGGTAATCCCTCCCCTGTGCCTGGATGATAATTGAGTCAGGAACTATACAAACTCTATTATCTCCAGGCACAGAAAAACATACAATTTACAAACCCCTCAAAATTACCTTCAAAACACATGAAAATCCCACAAAAGTTACATCTCCTAATAGCCCCGATCTGGGTGACCAACATATCCAAATATCACCCAGATCGGTTCAGGGGTTCGAAATTTCCATTTAAGTCAATTGTTTGATCAACTGTGCACATGGTCCTATGCCCAAAACAGTTCCATGGAATCAGGGAACGGCGGTGGGTTAACATTGGTAACATAAAAACAAAGTTTAAACGGATTCCCGAACTGAGAAAGAGAATGGTTCCTGGGAAGGCAAAATAGGGGTTAACCAGCCCAGAGGTGGTCCGCAGTTCGTGAGTTTGTTTGGTTTCCGAACTTTACAAATAAATCCTACAAACCAAGTCTTTTTACCAGCCTTTTCTATGGCCCATAGTCAGTGGGCACATTCCTCCAGGAGCCTGTGGAGAACGTCCAGGCAAAGGGGCATTCGTCACACGCACCCTAAATTAAAATGTACCCTAACTACTAGTCAGATTGGCTTGACTACTTAAACATGCACAGTAAGTAGTAAGAAAAATAAATATTAGATTTTACTGTTTTTGTAACTGACAAGAGAGAGCAGGTAATAAAACAATATACAACAGACATTCTCACGGTACATAAACCTAGAGAAATTAAAATATCACTGAAAGGGAACCACCAACTTCTATGGTGCTGATTCATTGTAATAACACTCTAAATGAAATATATATATATATATATATATATATATATATATATATATATATAAACTTAAAATGCAAGCATAAATAAATCACTAAAAGGTGGAGACACCATAGCTATATTTTAGGATTTCTCCCAACCATCACGGCTGTGAGAAAAGTGGCATTGACTATGGACATCAGTGTTGTATGCTTGTGCATTCACAGAAGTAAAGAATTGACATTGGTTCCTGGAAAATGAAGTGTCAGGAGCTTAAAGGAACACTATAGGGTCAGGAACACAAATGTATTCATGAACCTATAGTGTTAAAAACACTATCTAGCCCCACAGAGCTTGCTTGCCCCCCTAAATATAGTAACATATTACCTTTATTGCAGTCTGCTGGTACTGCCCCTGCCCCTAATCTGCCTATTTGACTGACAAAATCAGGAGCAGTGATCACAATGCTTTCCCATATGAAAACATTGGATTGGCTGAGATTATCAAGAAGGCAGATCAGGGCAGAGCCAGCATATGCAAAACACAGCCCTGTCCAATCAGCAACTCCTCATTGAGATTCACTGAATCAATGCATCTCTATGAGGAAAGTTCGGTGTCTACATGTAGAGGGTGGAGACACTGAATGGCAGTCACACTGTGCAGCACTGCCCCAGGAAGCACCTCTACTAGCCATCCGAGGATTGGCCAGTGGAGATATCCCTAGGCTGTAATGTAAACACTGCATTTTCTCTGAAAAGACAGTGTTTACTGCAAAACGCGTGATGGAAATGATTACTCACCAGAATAAATACAATATTCTGTAGTTTTTCTGGTGCCTATAGTGTCCCTTTAAGATGATTCATTGGATGCAGATAGCAGTGACTGTGAAGGACACCATCCCCTGCGCCACCACACAGCATGGGGCAAAGTCACCACTGGAGTGTCTTGCAAAATATGCAAAGACCCCTGAAGGTGACAGAGCCGCTTTAAATGATCGTTTGTACAGAGTGAATTAGGAAGCCCTCTTGGCTGTCAGTTTCACTACCAGGAGAGTATTCCTAAATCAATTAATAAAATTGCAGATTTCTCTTGGAATTAGTAGATTTATGCATTATGAAAAAGGGGACATGCAGTTAACCCCTAGAGCACTTCAGTAAGCTGTGTGTCCCTTTAAAGTCCGGTATCAGTAACAGTCCTTAGAATTCATGCACACAAGCTACACCACCTTCCTCTAACAGCGGACTGGAAAGTTATATGAGTGTATTAGCTCAGAACAATGGAAGAACCCACAATTTTAATGGAAAAATTAAAAACAAGACTTGACTTTCTTTTGGGTGTTACTGCCACCTCTGAGTTTTACAATTTAATATAGGAATATCCCTAGTTTACAACAATTCCTTTTCCTTACTATGCCACATGCATTGGCAGCATTGACTGATTGCTGCTCTGACTCTCTTTTATCCTGTTAATCTTTCTCAAGCTTTTTTTTTTTCTTAAAGGGACACTATAGTCACCTGAACAACTTTAGCTTAATGAAGTAGTTTTGGTGTATAGAACATGCCCCTGCAGCCTCACTGCTCAATCCTCTGCCATCTAGGGCTGCATAAACAGAAACAAAGAGATTTAACTCCTAAATGACAGTGAATTGAGCAGTGAAATGGCAGAGGAATGATCTATACACTAAAACTGCTTTATTTAGCTAAAGTAATTTAGGTGACTATAGGGTTCCTTTAATCTTCTTTCTTCCGGTACTTTATACACAGAATGAGAGAAATTGCCAATCAAGATTTTTCACAAAATTGTAAATTGTTAGCAACAGGCCTGGGGAATTCAAATTTTTACCCAAAATTACCCAATTGGAAAATGTCTTCATCTCTTTAGGTTTCCAGCTTTTTAATATCTGCCTTAAAATGTACAATTGCGGACCGGAGCGGACGCACACTGCCGGAGCTCTGAGGTACCGCACGGCAATCCGGCAACATCGGAGGCATCTCGCACTAATCCCGGCCACACATTCAGCCACAGACCGCAGGGAACCTCATTGCGACCGCCGATGCCGTTTCTCCTGACGCCCGGCTCGAAAAATAGACGCCGGGGCGGCAAGGCCTACCTCAACCCAGCACGGGAGAAAATTGGCCCTGGAGTGTCCCAGACTTTGAGGACTGGTACCCCAGCACACACAGCTCAGGTGAGATGGGGCACAGAACGCAGAAACTGCCCCAAAATGCCCCAAAACCGCAGCGCGACATAGGCCAAATGCTACAGGCCCCAAGCGCAGTAAAGGCACAGACCCCCTGTGAAACATCCCCGGCACCATCGGAGGAGGGAGAACCGCTAGACAGCCCACACCTCAATCCCCAACACCCCACACACACGTGGATGCCAGAAGCCAGCGCTCCGGCCTCCAAACAAGATATACAGGCTATGCTGACAGGCCTGCAACAGAACTTAAGACAAATGTGGGAAGCGGACCTTGCAGTGCTTAAACTAGACGTGCACGCCGTGTCCACGCGCACTCAGGTGGTAGAAGAGGAGGTAAAGGGACTAAGAGAGAACTGCCAGGAATTGGGGGAGAAGGTGCGACACCTTCAAGCTGCACAAGCAACAATGTCCAGGCAAGTTACCCTCCTAGATGACAGGGGGCGCCGAAAAAACATAAAAATCCGAGGGGTACCTGAATCAATACCGCTGGAAGAGTTGATATGGCGCAAAAGTATGCAACCAATCACCAAACAACTCCAAGCCGCAGGAGTAGCCTATAGATGGGTAACACCAATAACTCTCTGGATCACTAAAGATGACAAGAACTATAGAGCCACCGACCACGCAGAGGGCCCAGCACTGATGACCGCATTGGGAATATCGAACCTCGCAGCGACCTCAATGACACAGCCAGATCATCGACCAGGGACAACGAGCACAGATTCATCCGCAACCCCTGGAACAAGCAGAGACCCGAAAACCAAAACCTGAATGAACTGTCTCACCGACGGCCTCATAGGCCTTAGTTTAATTAGTTTAAATATTTTAAGTTAATAAATCTGTTCATTTAAGTTAAATGTAGTTCTCCCACACTCTGACGGCTATAACAGTGCTAAAGAGACCCACCAGTACCAAGCACATCAACTCCGATAACAATCCCCCCCCCTCCCTTGGGTTAATGGGAAATGACATCAAGGGCGACATAGTAACCCTGACTGGAATCAAGCTCACCGCAAGGTCTGATGCCCAAGGGCACAACTTGATCCTGTCACACTACAGCGTCCTATATATATACCTAGACACAAACTTATAGTTACCACTAGGACCACAAAGACACCTCTGGACACCTAGAGCACCACACACATGGGTACCCACCAATAGCTACAACCGGGGACAAAAAAGAGGAGCGGACATAGTCCTAGAAAGGGCACACATAGAGAGACCCCGTAACTATCGCAATCTGCTTCCTTATCCAAACTCGACAGGGTCAAGAGACACACCCAACACCCATAGCCTATAGTCGCACGACCTGGAATTGGGAACAGCCACTGGGCCTAGCTGTAGATGCCTTTCCCCCTCCACCCACGACTCCGCAGAACTTAGGGTGTCTTAGGCAGACAGAAGTCTTCCACCCCCACAGTTATTAGATCTTAAAACCTCACTATAACAATGTGACCTATTGTAAATATAAAATATGTGTGACTAGCACACAACAATGCCTTGTATTTAATACGTACTGATTCTAATCGTTGTGTCGAGGTTGTTGTGGCCAACTTCATGAATCTGTTATCTTTCCACATGAAAAATAAAGAATAATAAAAAAAAAAAAATGTACAATTGCCAAGCCAACTCTCTGTTTTTTGAATAAAAATGAATTTGTACTGCGCTATAATCCAAATCTGCAGTTAGCAATTCTTTCCATTTTTACTATACGATTTTTATCTTTCTCAATAAAATGTAAAAAAAAAAATATATAAATACTAAACAATGAATGTTTTCTTTTCTTAAATTGAATTAATGATTTAAATAATATTCTTATACATGGAAAGGGAAAGTTGTGTTATAAATTGTAACACATTCTGATAAATATCTTGCAGTAGATGAGTGATTGCATTTTGCATGTATAATTAGGAGAGATCAGGATATTAATAGAAGGTACTTATGCAGCTCCAACTGTGTTTCCTAGGGAACTCAGTGAAGGATGAAATGTGTTCTTTGAATTGAATACCTTATGAAAAGTAACGGCCTACAATACGAACATTTAAATGTATTGCAAATGCTTCCTTTTTGATTTATTATTTTTATTTACTAAATTAAATGGTCTGCTACTTGCAAATAAATTGGCTCTAAGGGACACTATAGTCACCAGAACAACTACAGCATATTGTATTTGTTCTGGTGAGTATAGGCAGTCCCTTCAGGCTTTTTGCTGTAAACATTGCCTTTTCAGAGAAAAGGCAGTGTTTACATTACAGCCTAGGGATACCTCCAGTGGCCACTCCTCAGATGGCTGCTAGAGCTGCTTCTTGGTGCAGTGCTGAACAGTGTGCAACACTGACGTTCAGTGTCTCCATGCTCTGCACGATTGATTCAATGCATCTCTATAAGGAGATGCTGATTGGCCAGGGCGTCATTTGGCCGTGCCCTGTCCCACTGTAACATATTTATCCTCACCTTGCGGTATCTGCGCCCAGCGGCCATGCGTCAGTGTGCCTGACTCCTGCAACATGTGGATCCATGGCAAATTATAGCCCCACGTCCGCCCGCGGTGATGACGAAGTTGGCGTGCGCATGATGTCACGCGGGAGACGTGCCGGCACGTTCTGGGGTCAAAGGACGATTTCGGCCAATCAGAAGTGTAAAAAGCTTTTTTAAAGGCATTTTTATTTTCCCTCATTGTCCTGTCATGGTTTCCCTAGTGGTTGTCCGAGAGTGTGTTTCTGAGCATTTATTTATGGTTATTGACTTTGGCTTCGTCTGACTTCCCTGTATTCTGGTATCACTGACTTTTGGTAGGTTTTAACCATTTCTAAGGGGGCTAAGGAAGGGCAAGCCACCTAAATGGTGGTTTTAACACTATAGGGTCAGGAATATATGTTTGTGTTCCTAACCCTATAGTGTTGCTTTAATTAAAAAAAATGGTGTTCTGTTAAAGTAATTGAACCTTGATTTTAAAGGCACACTATAGTCACCAGAACAACTACAGCTTATTGTATTTGTTCTGGTGAGTAGAATCATTCCCTTCAGGCTTTTTGCAGTAAACACTTTTCTGAGAAAATGTAGTGTTTACATTGCAGCCTAGGGATAACTCCACTAGCCACTCCTTAGATGGCTGCTAGAGGTGCTTCCTAGGGGCAGTGCTGCACACTGAGTAGTACTGCCATTCAGTGTCTTCACCCTCTGCATGGAGACACTAAACTTTCCTAATAGAGGTGAATTGAATCAATGCATCTCTATGAGGAGATGCTGATTGGCCAGGGCTATGTTTAACTTGTGCTGGCTCTGCCCCTGATCTGCCTCCTTGGCTGTCTCAGCCAATCCTATGGGATTGTGATTGGCTCACAGAATCACTTCTGATGATGTCAGCAGACAGCAGGCAGGTCAGAGGCAG